GAAAAAATTTTCTAAATACAATAGGTAATTAGTTATATGGATCCGAAAAAATGGCCGTTTGACCAAAATGTCAAAATTCTAGACCCTCCAACTCGGAGTGTGTTTGACCGATCCCATTGAAATTTTGTGTCATAACTACTATTTTTTAGGACTAACCTTGGTGCAAATTTCATCCCGATCGGAAGACATAGATTTCAAAAGTTGGGTCACTTGAGGTGAAATGCCCCATATATTAACTGGAACAACATTTTCTTCAATATTGGTACTTTTCTGTTTTTTGCACTAAAAAATTTAATATAATCAAATAAAAATTCACAAATCAGACTGAACTGGTCTCTTGCAAATATTGTAAGCTTTCATGAAAGAAAAATAAAAATTAATCAAATTAAGTGAAAAATTATGCCTCCAGTGAATTAAGAACACTAAATGCCAGTTTTGAACTCAAACTCAGCGTGCAAGACGATCCTGGGCGCAACTTTGCCTGCGCTTTATAGATTGTACAAAGATTACCGATTAAATAGAAACCCTTTAATGCGAAACAAACTGGCGAAGGTTTTCATTATATTCTATAAGGGATATTTTTATTTTTCATATTCTGTGTTTAAAAATTTACCTCTGAAAAATTCAGAGCTGGTTTAAAGGACAGTTACAGAAATAAAGGACAAAAGGCGCCCTTTATTTTGAAAAAAATTATATAGGGCAGGGTAACCCCCTGTCCTTTAAAATAAAGGACGGATGGTCACCGTACGCATATAAGATATCAAAGTATTTTCGAACGTTCGCCAAAATGTTTATAGGGAAGCTTTTGTGCCCAACATGAAAATTCATAATCATGAAAGTTAATTTTTTGCCAAGTTTATCGACTCTTTTATATGCAAATTGTATATACATATTTACATGCATGTATTTGCACAAATTTTATTACATTTTAGGGATGGACGGCCTTATATTCAAAGAAGACATAGTTCAAATGAAAGTAAAGCCATACGCCAAAGTGCAATGGCCAACAAAGAAACGAACTCGTTTCAAGTGAGTAAACAACAGGGCTATTCATATAAATGCGTAAACGTACTTAATTTTTTATGGAAACCCGGTTTATTTACGAGGTTTACGCGGTTACGAGGCATTCACGCGTTTAGATGAATACCAATAATGTGGTTAATTTATGTGCATGTGGCATACCTTCATATATATATTTTGATTGTTTAGGTTATACCTCGCACCCAACGTCTCCATTCAAATGAACATCGACCTCTCAAAGAGACTGAGCTGATTGCGTTGCTTATTCCAAAACTAGAAGAAGTCAAACGCAAGCAAGACATAGAGGATAGGGCTCGATTCGACGTAAGTATTAAAAAGAACACGAGGGAAAAAATTCACGTATTTATCTTTTTATACCTACTTAAGCGTTTCACGGATGATTCATTACCGACAAATGAAAGGCTTGCCAGCGATCGTGCGTTTGCAGAAGCGATTCGTGAAAAATTTGCTTTGGAGGAAGACAATGACCAGGACATACTTGATCAGCACGTATCGAGAGTTTGGAAGGATCAAACTCCTCACCGTTCACCTGGCACTGTGTCGCCTTGCCCACCCCTGCCAACTCGGAGACGAACAATAACCCACGATTCTGGAATGCTTAGCGACGGTGCAATGAGCATAGGTGAGTCATGACAACATATGCATGTACATATACTATATATGTATATATATGAATAATATTTTACACAGCGCATAGTGGTTCAAGTAGACCACGAGCTCAGGACCAAAAAAACACTCCTCTCCCCGGTAGCGAAGACACTAGAGGCCTTGTTACTCCCGTATTTTGCGAACCACCTGACCCCAGCGAAGCATCAGCATGGTTCCCGTAAAGTCACTCGTCAGCAATGTTTAGAGAGAAATCAAGCAAACCTCGAAAAATAAAATAGGGGGTTCTACAGGGTGTTGTCCTTTCCCCACTACTGTTTAACTTTTATATTTCCAAGCTCCCTCTACCACCAGAGGGAGTCTCGATTGTCTCTTACACTGACGATTGTTCGATATTGGCGTCTGGGAATGAAATTGATGACATGTGCTCGAAAGTAAACTGGTATCTGTCCGAACTTTCTCGCTTCTTCACTGCTAGGAGTCTAACCCTCTCCCCTACAAAAGCCTCTGCGGCGTTTTTTACCACCTGGACGCAGTAGGTCGGACTAACGCTAGGTATTCACGTCGATGAGACACAAATTCCGACGGTGCATAATCCTAAAATTCTCGTGGTAACATTCGACATTCTGCTCTCCTTCTCTGCGCGCACAACCGCAATTGTCAACAAAGTACAGAGCCGCAACAAGGTCCTCAAGTCGCTAGCCGGCAGTACCTGGGGAAAATACAGAGAAACGTTGCTGGCAACATACAAGGCAATTGGTCGGCCGGTTCTAAATTACGCAGCACCAGTGTGGTCGCCGGAGACCAGTAGGACGCAGCGGATGAAGCTACAGATAGCACAAAACACCGCACTACGGACAGCGACCGGATGCCTTCTGATGTCGCCAGAACACCACCTGCACGACGAGCGAAAATGCTCCTCATAAAGGAGCACAACACATTGCTCTGCAAGCAATTCCTAGTAGGGACCACAGACGTGGACACCCGAAAAGACACCTGCTTGCAGAGGAGCCCTCGCCAAGGCATGTCAGGAGGCATCTATACGAACTGACGGACGAAGTCCAGAGGTTCATAAAGCAACCTCTGGACCCGTCAGCTTATCGATAGGCCTTGAGCGGCATTCACAGGGAGTCAGTCTCAAGTAACGTGGACTCCAGACCTGTGAATGCCGTTCTGGGCACACAACCAGCAGACATAGACGAGACCGAGCTTCGTCTGCCTCGGGAGACACGGTCCACAATAGCCCTGGCTACTGCAGCAGGTTTAACTCATACCTGAGCAGATTAGATTCAGATGTGCCAAACGAATGTCAGGCATGCGGAGAGACACCCCACGACTCAAATCATCTCTTCGTATGCCCGAAAAACCCAACGCAACTAACACCTCTGTCGCTGTGGGCAGACCCTATAGAGGCTGCACGCTTCTTGGGTCTTCCGTTAGTTGAGCTTGACGACAGCGACTGAGATACTAACCGATCTGGGCGGGGCTGTTGTAGCCGATACAACAACAACAACCAAAAGACTCATACTTCAGATCAATTGAAATTTTATATGAGCTTAGCTTGTTATATATAAATCGAGGTCCAGAGGACTGGCTGATCATGCGTTTTAAGCTATTAAAGATGTCAATAATAACCAAATACTTAAAATACTTCAAATGACTTGAAATTTTGATAGAATTTTATTTACAGCATATAGAAAATTAACTCGAGGGTGCCTGTCAATCAGTATGGTCTTAAAGTACTGCCAGCCCATGTTTAAAGTGCATTGTTGCAAGTACAAGTCAACATAATTCAGATGGGTGACAACGCCTTTTGACAGTACACTAGTAATATTATATGATGAAATATCATATGAAAAATGCCAAAAACGTCTGCCAAAAAAGCATGAATAATAAATAGAATACAATATTGTGCATTCCGGCGGAGATGGCATTTCTCAAGTAAAAGTAAACAAAGCCGAATAGGATGATAAAAGAAACTGTCAAAACAGTAAATTTTCTTAATATTTAATCTTTATATAGGAAACATGGTTTAATTGTGTTAAATTATAAGAATATACGGTTTACGAAAATAAATAACAAAGAAAATGTAAAACGGTGATTTTTGTGAAAGTATTAGTGAATTTCAGTATATTTAAAGTTCCTGAGGCATTCTTTACTTTTACTTGAGAATTTCCAAAACCGGAAAAACCAAAGTAGCTGTGATAGGTAAAGAAGCGATAGGTGCAAATAGTGAATTAATAATTTTAAAACGAAACAATGCGTTGTCGACAAATGGCTCTGCAAACAAAATGTGGAGAAGAAGCTACAGAATTCAGGAAGCAGCAAATTCTTAGAACAGAGAGTAGGGTTGAAACGATATGAGTAAATACAAGTACATACTCGATACTTTTTGATCGATATCAAGTAATGTTGGTATCGATACTTTTGAACCAAGTACTGAGTAGGTATCGCAATAGCACGTATTTATGAGGTGGCACAGAAAAATATTTATTTTTTTCACTGCTTTCCTATTTCACAAATTTATTGGTGCTCATATTTAGTAAGTTCAGTTAGAAAACCATTCAAAAGTTTGGAAGGAAATAAGTTTCTTTCCTCTTTTCTAAAATTTTCGGACTATCTAATACGTGGTGTTGCATTTGGCGGATACGAGATATTCCGCGCCAAGCGGCGATTTGTATATACATTTGCTTCAGGTTATATTTTGTCTTTTTTCTATCTAGATCCCTACCTCGACCCTTTTCGCTCTAATTACATTTATGTTATTCTGCTTTCCTTTATCTTTATACTCTATTGTTCATATAAAAGTAAAGTCTTTAAATTTACCTTGGTCTTCATCTTTGTTTATATCTTTGCTTTTATCATCCTCTTCATCTACATATTTTTCTAGATGATGTGAGGTATGATCAGGGTTCGGATTTGCCTCATTTTAGCCCCTCGCTCGCTCGTTAGTTTGCTCTGAGCTTGCGCAACTCACGAGCAACAGGCGAGGCTGTTTGCAATCGAGCACTCGTTAAGTACGCGCTGAGCAGCCAGCGAGCGAGTAAGCAAACGAGGGCAGCGCAAGAGTAGACCAAAGTAGAGACAAACGAGGACCTCATTAGCTCTGCCCTCGCGAGGGCGTCGTTGCGAGCGAGGCACTCATTTGCAGCAGCAGACGAGCGAGACGAGTAAATAAGCGAGGCAAATGAGGCAAGCAAAGCGATTGTTTGGTCAGAATAAATGTATGGGTAAAAATTGCATCAACTAAAAATTTCGAGTAAAGGATTGTATATACACATGCAGGCATACATACATATATACACATATGTATGTGTTTATTTAATTATGTACATATACATATATTCTCATGCACAGAAAAATAGTTGCGTGCTATTTTGACCAGTTATACCTACTATGTAGGTACATATGTGCATACATATCTAGGTATGTATAATTTTTTAATGCTCAATAATTTCAACTTATTATACATGAAAGAAAGACCATACAAGTCCAAGCAAGTTTCATACTTTATAAAAAAATTTGAAAATTTCAAGTTTTATGAAAATTTTAAACTTTTTAATCAGATTAATAGAGCAATGCTTGGTATTGTTATATCACATTACATTTTAGTATAATTATAATAAAGAAAAAGTATGCCTTCTACAATGAAGCTTGGCAGAGAATGCTTTGGCCACTAAATAAACATATTAATGAGAGATAAATTACTATTTCATATCAATGATTGCATGAAAAATAATATTTCTTGCCCTGATTTGATTACAAGGAAAAAAAAAACATTTCACATAATTTTATTTGTTTGCAATAGCTGACTACGACGCACGCGATCTTTCTGTTTTGTGTTGGCCTTAGCGTTGCCAAATTTTGGCATTGAAATTCAACGCCAACGCAACGCCAAAGTTGTATGTGAACCGGGATATATTCTTTGTTTACGCAAATTTTCTCATGTCTACATATACATACATATATATGTCCTTGAACAACAGGCCACAAATAAACTTGTTCACAAAGGATTATGTACATCTATCTATATATATATAATAATAGCCGTTTTCGTTGTTCGGAGATAACTCAAAAACTACTGCATAGATTTCAGTCAAATTTTCAGAAAACTGCCTGGCGCTGGGGTCGAGTTATTTATAAAAGTCGTATTTATGCACCGATTTCGTTCAAATTCAAAACATGTGCTGCCTTCATAATGAAAAATGCGCATGCGGAAAATAGACTCGCCAGGTGGCGCTGGAGTCGAGTTATTTATAAAATGGAAAATACGTTTACCAAACTCAGACTCGCTAGGAGGCGCGGAAGGCGAGTTATTTATAAAAGTTGTATTTATGAACCGATTTCGTAAGCTACCTGCATGATGAAAAAAGCACTTGCGGACCCGCTAGGTGGTGCTGGAGTGGAGTTATTTATAAAGCCGTATTTATGAACCCATTTTGTGAATACAAATTCGAAACGTTTATTACTTTCATGATGATTTTTTTTTCATTCGAAGCATATTACATACATAAAAAGATAGCCATTTCCGTTTTTCGGACTAAACTCGAAAACCAGTCAAATTGTCGGAGGTTATACCTTGCACATATGGTCCTATTATAGGCTACTAGAAAACACGCTGGTGGCGCTGGAGTAGAGTTACTTATAAAAGTCGTATTTATTAACCGATTTCGTTCAAATTCGCAGGGTGACTACCCGTATGATGAAAGATTCCTTTGCTAAACATGGACCCGCTGGAGTTTAGGTATTTAGAAAATCCGTATTTTTTATAAAATCTGATTGGAATTCATAATGTGTATTCATTTCATGACAAGCAAAGGTTTTGCAGAAAAGGGACCCAATAGATGACGCTGCAGCCGAAATATATAGAAACCCCACGATGTTTGTTCTGCTTTGGCCCTATGTTTATCTAAGACGAATTTACTTTTCAGATGACTAAATCAAGGATGGGTTTAAGTATGCATATAAAGACCATAACACTGTGTAAGCGTGATCTTACATCTACCTCCGATTGAG